CATCATTTTTTTTATTTTTTTTAAATTAAAATACATGAGTTTATATAAATCATGGTATGTAAAGAAAGCCCCTTTTGTCCTGAAAAAAACAATATATAATTTGTATGGGAACAGTAAATGAGAAAGCGGAAAATTACAGCCAAACACAAACACCACAAAAGTGTAAAAATATGCCTGGTCGTAAATGTACAACATCGCAAAAAAGGTCCAGTCCTTAAGGGGTTAATACTAATGGATTAAACGTATACCTTTTTAATCATTATCAAAACCGTGAGTGCTGGTCATGTCTGATATATATATATGTATATATATATATATATATATATATATATATATATACGCAGTGTGTGTGTTTCTGCTTTAGGGTGCACACCCTTATAAAATAGGCTGCGTACACCTATGATATGAGCTAGTCCCAAGTAAAATAGAGTATTGCATGTTAGTTTCTTTTGGGACTTGTGTCCTGTGTGGATTTTTAGGGATCTCAGTGACACAGTCTTCGGATCTGTTTGCTGGCTGCAGGATCCCTCTAGCCCTGGGATAAATCAAAAGAGTTAGGCCTGAGACCTGCAATTGCCTTTGTGAAGGCAATAGCTATAATCACATTATAAGCAGTGTTCCAGACACCTGCCTGGAAGAAGAGCTGCAGTGGCATAGGCAGAAGGGACGATACCTGCCTGAAAAGAGAGGGCTACAGAGGAACAAGCAGAGGGGATGATACCTGCCTGGACGAAGGGCTGCAGCGGCAATATACTCATTGCAGTGGCGTACATACCAGGGTCGCAGGGGTCGCGGCTGCGACCGGGCCCGGCCCACCTGGGGGCCCGGCCGCCCCTGCGACCCTGGTATGCACATACAGGGCCAGCCTCTTCCCCTGGGGGGCCCAGGAGCTGGCCACCCCAGGGCCCCCCGAGGCTGATCCGGGCGGGTGGGTGGCCGGTCAGGCAGGCGGGTGCGCGAGGGAGCACTCATTGCTTCCCCTTGGCTCCCTCGCGGAACCCCCTGTACCGGAGTCGGATGATGACGTCATCTTCCAGAGCCGGCATCCCTACGCGGCGCGCGAGGGAGCTGAAGAGGAAGCAATGAGTGCTCCCTCGCGCGCCCGCCTGCCTGACCGGCCACCCACCCGCCCGGGTCAGCAACAGCACCACTGGACCCCAGGGAATAATCCCCCCAGCACTCCAAAAGGTAAGGAGGCTGGGGGGATTACATTAAAAAAACTAAACAAAAAAAAAAGTGTTAGTGTTTGAGTCTGTGTGAGTGAGTGTTAGAGTGAGTGTTAGAGTGAGAGTGAGTGTGAGTGTGTGTGTCTGCTAGTGAGTGTTAGTGTGTGTGTCTGCTAGTGAGTGTTAGTGTGTGTGTTAGAGTGAGTTAGTGTGTGTGTCTGCTAGTGAGTGTCAGTGAGTGTTACTGTGTGTGTCTTACTGTGTGTGTGTGTGTTAGTGAGTCTGTTTGATGTCTGTTAGTGAGTGTGTGTTTGTCAATGAGAGTGTATGTTTTGTAAGTGAGTGTGTATGTATGTCTGTCGCTGACTGTATCTCTGTCAGTAAATGTGTGTGTCTGTTAGCTAGTGTGTATGCGTCTGTAAGTGAGAGTGTATGTGTCTTCAGCACTTACCTTTCTCCAGCGCCGGACTCCCTTGGCGCTGAGGATCCCTCAGCCTCTCAGCTCAGAATGCGACCGCGCACGCATTCAAACCGCCCATAGGAAAGCATTACTCAATGCTTTCCTATGGACGTTCAGTGTGCTCCTCTAGCGGCTGTCAGTGAGACAGCCACTAGAGGCTGGATTAACCCTCAGTGAAACAGCAGTTTCTCTGAAACTGCTATGTTTTCAGCTGCAGGGTTAAAACTAGAGGGACGTGACACCCAGACAACTTCATTGAGCTGATGTGATCTGGGTGTCTGTAGTGGTCCTTTAAAGGACCACTATAGTGCCAGAAAAACATACTCGTTTTCCTGGCACTATAGTGCCCTGAGGGTGCCCCCACCCGGCTCTGGAAAGGGGAAAAGGGGTAAAACTTACCTTTTTCCAGCGCTGGGCGGAGAGCTCTCCTCCTCCCATCCTCCTCTTCTCCTCCCCGTCAGCTGTATGCGCACGCGCGGCAAGAGCTGCGCGCGCATTCAGCCGGTCACATAGGAAAGCATTCATAATGCTTTCCTATGGACGCTGGCGTGCTCTCACTGTGAAAATCACAGTGAGTAGCACGCAAGCGCCTCTAGTGGCTGTCAATGAGACAGCCGCTAGAGGAAATAGGGGAAGGCTTAACCCATTCATAAACATAGCAGTTTCTCTGAAACTGCTATGTTCTCGAAAAAATAAGGTTAACCTAGCTGAACCTGGCACCCCAGACCACTTCATTAAGCTGAAGTGGTCACAGGTGCTAAGTGTTTCCTTTTAAGGAGTGTGTGTGCATCTTGCATGCACTGGCATTGCTCACTAGCGATGCGCCCGGCCGCAGCCCTGTAACCCCTGCGACCAGGTGCCCACCGCCAATGATTTGCGGCCCGGTCAGCGTGTGACCCATGGGGCCCCGGTGCGAAAATTGATCCGTGGCCCCATGGGTCATGTGTATGCCACTGACTCAATTGTATTTGTTCTGGTGAGTATAATTCAGGATTTTTTGCAGGAAACACAGTCTTTTCAGAGAAACAGCCTTTGGATACCTCCACTGGCCACTCATCAGATGGCTGCTGATTGGACAGGGCTGTGTTTGACTTGTTCTGGCTCTGTCCCTCGACTGCCTCGGTTGACAAGCTCAGCCAATCCAATGCTTTCCTAAGAGAAAGCATTGTGATTGGCTTTTTTTTGGGGGGGGGAGTTCAATATGGTTTTATTAAAGTGATCTAAACAGTCCCAAAGATCAATCTCTTTTAAACCTATAAACAAACAAAAAATATAACACTTATATTGCCTCTGGTTTCAGGCATCACAATTTGTATGAGAACATTTTTAAGATAAGAAATAAAGTAACGTAGTAATCAGATATCCAAAATATAGACCTCTCTCCATGAATCTGTTAACCGTCAATAATTAATAGGATAACACATGACCTGTGTAAGTGTTTCGGAGTTGTAATGTGCACATTAATACTTTTATCATTTTAATTCAAGACACAGCATTATCTATGTAAAACGTTTAATATCACAGTTTTAATTCAGCCCTTGGAATAAAAGTTATTATAATTACTTCCTGGAATCACATCAACCTGATATATCAGCATCACTATACTCAACAGCTCCATTACAATGTCCTTCAAATATAAATATAATAATGTGAAAGTATTCTGTATTTCAAAGTTTGGATCATCTCACAAATGGTTAAAAAAGGCTGAAAAGAAAAATAGCCCCCTAATACACAAACAAATAAGCAGGATATAAAATTTTGCTTTTAACTCTTAAAGGGACGCTCCAGGCACCCAGACCACTTCAGCTAATTTAAGTGGTCTGGGTGCTGTGTCCCTTTTGCACCTAGTGCTGCATTGTAAAAATTGCAGTTCCAGAGAACTGCAATGTTTACATTGCAGCTCTTTGTCTGTCCTCAGTGGCTGTCTGCCCTAGAGGACTTCCAGAATCCAAACGTACTTTTGGTCTATTATCTGACACTGGACGTCCTCACGCTCTGCATGAGGACCTCCAGCATCAGATTTTACCCATAGGAAAGCATTGATTGCTTTCCTATGGGGAGGTCTAAGGCGCGTGTGGAATGGAGGAGGGGGCAGGGCTTCGACCCAGCACCGAGGGACATTGGCACTGGGATCAGGTACGTAAATAAATGGTTTCTAACCAGGGGGGAGGCAGAGGGATCGGTAGTGCCAGGAATACAACTTTATATTCCTGGCACTACATTAATTTTAACTGAAAGGTTTATTACTCAATATGCTCTACATGTTAAATTTAGAAGTAATGTTCTATAGTTGTATCATTTTATAACTTAAATATGCAAATGACACACAAACTAAGCACAAATAAAGAGAAAAAAAAATGTCTTTCTTTTCTTTACACTTGCAAAAGATGTAATGTCCAGGACACAAATAAGAATTGAGATAACATTATAAAGTAGGAGAAGAAAAGACCTTGTCCTATAAAAGTTCATATGAACAGTCAAGCTTAATATTTTTCAATGAGGCTACATGGATGCAGCCATCCATTAGATTCATACAAATAGCAAATGGGGTTCTGTAACGAATACCATTATAGGAACGAGATGCCACCTACAGCAGGTCTCCAAATAGAAAGGCCCTTAATATGGGTTAATGTATGAAACATGAGAGCATCAAAAGACTCTATACAAGTTCCCAGTGCATAAGTGTCCATGTGCACTGGGGACATTTGGTGGACTGGTGACATCACTGAAAGAAACATGGGTGAATTAATTAAGTGATCCTGTGTGAAACTCTTTTCAGTTAATATCTCTGGGGAGTGACACAACTCTAACCTTCAGTGATCCCAGGCATAACATATTAGGTAATATCAGCCCTTTAGCTCGCAGACTTTTGCCTCAATAATCATAGTTTATCTATGGTGCAAAACAAAAGCAAACCATTCACAAAAATATACACCAAAAATAGAGCCTCTCTACCAAAGACTTAACTTAACATTGCAGAGGCACAATCAGACTGACCTGATATAGAAGGTACTTAGGACATTATTCTACCATTAATTATTTCAAATACTATACTTTATTTCCTTTTTGGGGTTTAGATCCATTTACAGAGTAAATGATACATGTCTGGATCATCTAAACAAAAAACGCTATTATACATGTGCAATTGTGGAGGCTTTTAATTAGATGTAGGAAGCACATGGAAGTACAGGAATTGGCTCAGGAACATAATTCTTAATTTGTTTTCTTGTCATCAGTAGGGACATATGGAGGAGGACACTCTATAGGCATGTAGACATTGTGAGGATTTGCTGGATTATAGTATGGGCTAGACGCAGCTTCGGCAGTCTTGCCTCCTCCTGGCATACCAGATTCCATCCATCCAGATGGTGCAGTTAGTGCCAGAGCTCCATTGTATGGTTTGCCCAGGGTAAGGGGGCATAAGGTGCCATGTACATAGGGTTCATTTCTGGTGGTGGATACCGTTCTATTCCGGGTCCAGGAAGTGGAGCATAAGGTTGGCCCATAGGTTGAGGGGCTGGACCATATCCATTCAATCCTGGAGGGACATATTGACATGGACCAGCTGGAGGGGCTGGAGCATATCCTCCAGGAGCAGAACGGTATAGTACAGGCCCATGAGCAGTAGGGACAGGTTCCGGCGTGTATTCATTTCCTGGGTTATGATTATGTGGCGCCCTGGATGTGTTCATTGGCATTTTAAACATGAGCTGTCCAGATTCAATGGCCCCTCCACTATTAAATGTAAGTTTGAATTAACCCTTCCCAACCTCCACTGGGCTCTGCATTGGTGTTTCCTTTGATGTAATTTGCAGAAAACATAGTCTGTTCTATAGAGCATCCCTTCACAAGGTAGAATGGCATCATAAATGCCATCATGGGATCTTTTCCCTTGATCACAAAGATCATCCTGTAGGCAGTGAGATACAGTTGTTTGGTGCCTTTGAAGGCTTCTGTTTTGTGTGCCATGTCACTGAAAGTAAGCTACACATCTTTACAGTCACTGATAATACTCTTATTGCCATTTACAATAATTTCACCATTCTGTGAGTGATTCCTATTTACTGCCATGCTGTAGCTGGTCATACTACTGAACCCTGTGTCTCAGTTCTGTGTTTATCAAGTGTACAAGATGAAGGTAACTGGATTCAGTTACTTCCCAGAAGCCATGTCCTGAATATTACACCATGATTGGCTTTGAAAACCACTTCTGAAGATGTCAGCTAAGCAGGCAGATCAGGGGCAGAGCCAACAGCTGCAGACATGAATAAAAGTAAGATTTTACTATTTTTAGAGGGGCAAGGAAGGGCTAGATGGTGTTTTTAACACTTTAGGGTCAGGAATACACATTTCTGTTCCTGACCCTATAGTATTTCTTTAAAGTGCCAGTTGCAAACAGCTCCCATTCTTTTTTAAGGGAAGGACTTAGCAACTAGTTTTCAACCTTGTCAGATGTCCAAACATATAAAAAACTAACATGTAATCCGAGTCAGGAGATTATAATGAAGTTTAAAGAATATATCAATAAAGGATTAGAAAACGATATTTTAACAGAGGCAGAAGCCAAATATCTGACTATTTCTAATCCTCAGATTCCTGTGTTCTATTGTTTGCCAAAGATACACAAACATTTAATTAACCCACCAGGTAGACCTATAATCTCTGGGGTAGAAAGTATCTCATCGAGAGTTTCAGAGTATATAGATGTTCTACTTCAACCGGTAGTAATTAAGAATCCAACGTACCTTAAAGATACAATACATATTTTACAAATTTTAGGAGAGATTAAATGGAAAGAAAATTACACATTGGTCACGTGTGATGTAAGCTCACTTTACAGCATAATCCCACACACAAAGGGAATAGAGGCAGTGCAATACTTTTTAGAGAAATCGAATTTTAAACAAGATCAAATAGATTTTATTAAAGAAGGCATATTTTTAATTTTGACCAACAATTTCTTTTGGTTCAAAGAGAGTTTTTACCTACAAATCAATGGAACGACGATGGGGACCAAGTTCGCACCCAGTTACGCAAATCTATTTATGGCGTATTGGGAAGAGACATTTATTTTACATAGTGAATTTTTTGCGGACTTGGTCACCTATCGCCGTTACATTGACAATATATTTTTTATTTGGAAGGGAGATGATTCAAAATTGACTGATTTTTTAAGTTTCTTAAATTGTAATGACTGGGGAATTAATCTTACTTCCATTCAAAGTAAAGTGGGAATTAATTTTCTAAACCTTACTGTTTTTATAGAAGAAGGGAACATTTTTACTAAGAATTTGTTTAAAGAGGTAGACTGCAATGGTTATATTGACCTCACTAGTTGTCATCATACCCCGTGGCTCACGAATGCACCCAAGAGCCAGTTCATGAGGTTAAAAAGAAACTGCACAAAAGATGAAGATTTTTTACAACAAACTCAAATTATTAAAAATCAATTCTTAGAAAAAGGATATGAAAAAGAAGACCTCCAAAAGGGTATAGAAGAAATAAAAAGATTAGAACGAAAGGAATTGCTAATATACAAAAAGAAAAAAGCGAGAATAGAGAACAATAGATGCAATATCCCCTTCATTTGTAATTTTTCTGCCAATAATAAGAAAGTACGGCACACTATTAACAAATATTGGCATTTATTACAAGATGATCCGATTTTAAAAGAAATATTACCGGAGAGACCTAAAATTGTCCATAGGGGATGCAAAAATATAAAAATTTTTTTAGTAAATAGCAATTTAAAAAATCATCAGGCTGAAAATGAGAACTTCTTAACAAAGAATAAAGGATTCTATGGGTTTGGAACATGCTTAGCATGTAGGGAGACCATAAGTAAAAAAAAGACATATAAAGAATACAAAAGAAATTACTAATAAAGAGTTTACAATAAGAGACCAATTGACATGTTTCTCTAAAAATATCATTTATTTATTAATTTGTCCGTGTAACAAAATGTATATAGGGAGGACCGTTAGATGCCTCCATGTTAGAATTTCGGAACATGTGAGAAACATCAACAAAGGAGTCGATACACACAGTGTTTCCCAGCATTTTAAACAGTACCATCACCAAAATCCACAAGGTCTTGTGTTTTGTGCACTTAAATTGGTCAAAAAAAATTGGAGGGGTGGAGATTTTATAAAGAAAATTGGGAAGGAAGAAATGTCTTTTATTTTTAATTTTAATACCATGGCCCCTCATGGACTAAATTTAGATTTTGAATTATGCCACTTTTTATAACAGAAAGAGATAAACATTATATCTATTAGTGAATAATATATTATACTGTTTCTCCTCACCCTTCCAGTTTTTTATAAAGGACGCAAGTCTCTTTTCAGCTATGTAACTATGTAACTATGTATGTTTAACATTCTTAGGGACATACCATTATTATTATGCACATAATAGAAGTAATAGTGCTCATTTATATTTGTATCAATGGTGATGCCTTTCTGTGTCATAATATATTTTATTAGTTTATTTCCTTCTTCTTTTTCTGGACTGGAAATTGAGAACTCTAGTCATAATAAAAAAGATTATGGAACGCAGATGGTGCGTTCCACGGAGAATGCGGAAGTAAAATGGCCAGATTATATTATTTAAGACTGTGGAACGCATGTGCGTTCCAACGAAGAAGAAGGAAGTGGAATAGTCTAATCATGTGACTGACGCACGCACGCGTGTACGTGCTTTCCAATTAGTGCGGCATGCGTTCCACGAAGTCAACTTCCGGTCCGGCAGATGCCGGCAATTTTATCATTTTGGATTTGTATAAAAGAACAAGAGGACACATAATGAACATACCAACTGAGCAAGCCAGTTCACTGGCGAAACGCGTTTTGGGAGCATATTGGAATCATTTTAAGCATTTTGATCCATTTTGTTTATACATGTTTTAAGCTTCTGCTTTTATAAATAAATTTTGTTTATACCGTCCTGTGGAGTCTGCAATTCCATTCCTACCTAAATGTAGAAGATCCTAAAGCACTTACCACTAGAGCCAGGTGTTCTATTGGCTCCACCTTTGTGAGTTACCCATCTAAAAGTCATTTTTTATGTCAATTCATTTGTAATTATTGTCTACACTTAGATCTGTTACCATTTATTTACAGATTTTTATCTTGACAATATGTGTACCCATCTTTAATATATTACTGTTCATACAGGTAATACAGAGCTCCGCTTATATTTTGTTTGATTTGCATGTTTTATGTTGTGGAGGTTAAGGGATTCCTTCACTTAAGTGTTAGAGCCTGTTTTTCACCTTGCTGAATTTGTGTGCACCGTTTTTATATTATATACATAGTTTCAACCTACTATTTACGCTTACTAGCTGCTACTATGTTTCCAAATAGACTAACTGATAACGCATGTGTAATCTCACGGTTGGTAAAGGAGCGATGGTGGTTTGTTAGCTTGCATTTGATGAACATAGGGCTGGTCTGGCTAATCTAATGTTACCACAACTTTAGAGGTTTTTTTTTTACCGAGAAATGTATTACACTTGAGCTGTACATTTGCTCTACTTGTTAATACCTCGAGCCAGATTAGCAAATCTTTCAGATCTTTTAAAATAAATAAAAGCATCCATTTTTCTTGCTTTGTCGATTTTTTTATGTGCACTAATACCTTAAGCCGTAAATTTGTTTACCTAGAAATTAAACAATAAAATCTCATCAGCAGACACATTGAGCAGAGTTTTCTACCTATTATAAGCCATTTCTTAATAATAAAAGAAAATAAGAAAAACGCTTAGCGCACTTGCAGAACCGCTACTCTTTCGGCTGAAGACACAATACCAAAGAGAGTACAAATGCAATAACATAGTAATTTGGATAATTAGGACTCAGCTATGCAAGAGGTCGTGAATATATCTCGAAATCAGCTTCAAGTGCTATCTGCACGGAATTGAAATATACAAATAATACAGTCTATCCATTCTGTCTCAAAGCCTAGTTTTGATATTATGAAAACTTGAAATGAAAATCCCCTTTGAACCTCACATGAAAAATTATTCTAATGGAATTTAATCAATTGTAATATCCCAGTAAAAAGAACACCGTAATGTAACGGTTCATCAGAACAATGAGAAGGGTAATATGGAAGCTTGGAATGCAATATGAGAGTTGCACTATGCAAATTGCTTTGATAAAGGAACATTATGCAAAAGTAGGATATAATCAAATATCAAAGTGGAAAAAAATAATACGCCATGAAAATAATTCTGGGTCACAAATATTGTTTTCTCAATATTTATAAAACACGGTAACTAATTTTATTATTTCTAATTCATAATCAGGTTTTCTAATACGACAAAGCAAAAATAGCACATTAATAGTAGTGGTTATTTTGTAACGACTTAGATACATACTTAATGTATGTGACAGACAATGCACATATTTACTTTTAATTACTCAGTTACTTTGTAAAAATAAAAATTGCTATATATCAGCATAGACTTAAGGTGATATTTTCATATATTCTAGGAACCATCCAAGCACCATAACCGCTACCATGTGCTGTTTGCTTGATTTGACATATTTATTTTGGGCCCGTCGGGTGCCAGTCACTTTCTCCATTAAAAGCCAGACTCTCCTATTTAGAGCTCCCATTAGCTTTCCTGGGCTAAGCCTCTATGTGCTGATCACTCTCACTCAATGAGCTAAGCTAAGCTGCAGGGCTAGCTCATAGCTGAGAGTTTCTGTCTATCAATAGAGTAGTAAGGTAAGTTGGATTGACTACTTACATTGCGGGTGCACCAGGGCAAATATGGAATCATAACCATTTAAGAGCGCTGCAGTTGTTATGGTGCTTGGTCCTTTAACAGTAGAGTATCATATACCTAAATAAAGCTTGACGCTGAAACGTATGTAATTTTGTCATTTTATAATTTTGTTCTCCTGATCCTAAAAAAAAAATTCTTCTTATTTGTACTACTCTGTGAAGCTTTTGTAATTTAATTTTGAAAATTTCTAAGGAAGTGGTTCCCAGCCCAGTCCTCAAATATTCCCTAACAGTCCAGGATTTGGGGATTACCCAGTTGTGTCTAAGGTGTTTTTAGAAAAGAAAAAAAATTTTTTAGACACAACAGGGTAATCCCTAAATCCTGGACTGGTAGGGGGTACTCGAGAACTGGGTTGGGAACCCCTGTTCTAAGGGACTGTGGATCTTTTCCAT